CCAATTAACTAACGAAGCTTATGTAACATTTAATCGACGTAAAATGAACCAAAAAAATAAGTCACCATATTTACACCAACAGCATAACTCCATTTTCTGCATAAACGCACGTACAACCCACAACTCCTACATTTGCTCTGACGAGGGGCTAACGCTCGAAATGTCAGCTTTAAAACTCTTTATGGTGGTCTTTACGATATCGACTCTGTTGATAATACCCTAAAGTGAACCAAATGAGTATTCATGACGACTTTTGCGCTGCAAAATTAGTTGGCCATTAACATTCCGCTGCCATGATTCGTGTGATTTATTTTCGACATTCTCCTCACAGATCGGTGACAGTGTATCGGCTGATTGGTAAAGACACTGTGGAGGAAGCGATTCTCCACTGTGCGCAGACCAAACTTCGACTAGAACAAGATATGGCTTTAGCAGATAGTGGTGAGTTGGTGATTTACACCTTCATTTGTTTGTTTTTCCATCACTTACCTCTGACGCTTTCTTACGTACAGTTTCACGTCCTGTCGCTTCGTTTGATCTTTTCTTAATACTCTTCTGCAATCTTTGGCGTTTCCTCTTGGGTCTTGCTTCCTAAATTTTTTTTTCTCATTTTTGTGGCTTGTTTTTAGGTTCGTTTGTTTGTTCAGGGTCAGGAGATGAAGCATAATCCGTAGCCCATCCCTCTGTCATTATCATAAACGATTTGAAAAATAGATAAGTAAAACAAAACTATAGAAATACAAGGAAAAAGAAAAAAAGATTTGTTATGGCGAACTGAGAACCTCTGTTCTACATGTGGACGTCGCAAATACAAACAGAAGTGAAATAAACAGAGCTTAAATTGAAAAAAAACCCAGTTGACGGGAGGCAAACTGGTTGTATGGTGGAAATCTTCATTATCTTGATTACTAATGTACATGAAATAATATACAGATTTAGGCAAGCCCAAAAGCAGAGCTTGCATTTTTTTTTCTCGCACGTCTCTTCAACAAAACTAAAGCCCCTACTATGGATAAAGTGCGTGGTAATATTAATGGATTTTCATTCGCAATTCTCCGTGTCCGTGTAGAGGACTGATTATAAGATAGTGCCCGTGGTACAGTTGGCCGCGCATGCTAAAAGTAGCACCTTGTACGGTTGGTCGTACGGTCGTAAGTCCAAATTTTTCGGTTTGATGGGTTACTACTATTTTGTATAATTATGGCGCTACGCTCTGCGAGCTACGCTATTACGCGCTTCTGATTAGATGAAACCGAGTGCATTATTCGTGTAACACGTGCGCAAAGTTGTAACACGAGTGTAAATTGTAAATAGCGCTCGTGCTGTCAAAATTTCGTCTGTTCTGACTTTCTGTAATGTTTTTTTCGAGTAAATTATGAATAAGTAATGATATGATTTCTCGTGTAATTTGCACTTACAAATTACACTCATCCTACGGGCTCATTAAATTTTCGCTGTCTTTGAAAAAATTACTCGTGTTTACTAACACCGAATTGCACTCAAAATCACACTATTACTTATACTAAGTGGAAAATGAATGCGAAAGGCGATAGCGGATTTCCATGAACGTTTTTCTCTTTTTTTTTCGCAGATGATACAAAATTTGCCAAAGATGTATCAGAACTCCTTAGTGACGTGTTCACTTCATCGTGATGCACAAGTGCAATCAAATAATTGCAAGTTGAGTTAGTAAAAGTTAATTTGAGTGTGGATAAAATTGAAGTAGACAATTCTAATTTTTAGAGAATGCTGTAATAGTAGAATTGAAGTAATTAAACTTGTTTACACTGAAACTTAAAAACAGTAGTGCAAAAACTGTACTTTATAAGTCTTTTGCCGTATTTATTCGGTGGGTTTTTTCCTTATTTATTTGTGTGCTTGCATGTTTTGTTTTGTTTTGTTTGGTTTTTTTTTTCGTGAAACACAATTGAAGAGTCGAGGACGTTTCAAAAATTCCTTACATTTACTAAACCAAAAGATAGTGCTTGTGTTCATATACATAATGATTTTACATAAATCACGTGTTCTGTGGTGTGTACAAGTTAAAAACCCATGTAAGTTAAAAAAAAAAAAATACAGGTACTTGGCGATTGTTTAACATTGTCACTGGCAGTTAGTGTTACTATTCGTTAGCGGCTTCTTTCCTAGATCAGCTGTCTCACGAGCTTCTAAGCCACTAAATTGTGTCGTAATTTCTTCCGTGCTTGTGGTTGCTGTTACTTGTTTTGCTGGACGGCGTATTCTAAGGGGAGGTGGTCTATTTCTTGTAGGTTGTACGAGTTGAGGGGAAAACAAGTCTAAGTAATTAAAGAGAAAAAAAAAACGATTGCGGTACTGTCAAGAGGTCGTTATGCTATCTAATTTTTTTTTTTTTAACTGAAAAAAAAAACCCGAGATTTCACTTTTAGAGGAGTTTACCTTTGGTATAACTTTCCTCCATGACAGAGGTCTGTTATTATCTTTTTTATGCGTGTACTGGAAGCCAGGGTTTTTATAGTAACCCTTGAAAAAAAATTTATCGGTTGAAGTCTTCAGCATATGGAACAATTTGATACTTAATTTGTGGGAAACGCAATTTTTAACGACATCGACTCAAAACGCTCCTCGAGGCGTTCCTTCCAGGTTCATAATTTGAATACTTGAGTGTCCAGCCTCGCCTTTGGCCATATTTTTTGCCCTTCCATGTATTTTTTAATTTACACACCAAAATTATGCAATGAAAAATAAAGGTCACCTTGCTCGTTCACGAGCTAAAGACCATCGTACCTCTTTACTTGGTCCATTGTTTGAAGACAATACCGTGTTCTCAGAATGTGCGCACGCTTATTCGTCGGATTACGTGATTTTAATGCGTAGTACAGAATGCGCAGTGCAATACTGGGGAATTACCTTAAGCCAAACATGCCAGCTTATTGATACATACCAAGTCCACTAAAAGAAGAGGAGTCTTCCTCACGGTTGTCTTCTTCATGTATCCATGAAAGTCTTCTTATCAGCAAATCGTCTGACGAATATGAGAGTATCGCTTGTGAAGACCTGCAACAGACGAAGAATAACGTTTGTAGATACGTCCACCTTCCATCTCTTTCAATATCTGCTGTTCAAGAGTTACGAAGCCTCCATAATCGAAAGAGTAAAGCATAACATGGCGTCCAAGTCGCACTTATCTGGCTCAGGCCTAAATGAGTGCGGTCCCCAGGTCCCTACGCAAATCTCCTTTCAAATGTAAGTGCACATAACCAAAGGATTTTTACTCAAGGGTTTCAGTGACTTTTTCTATAAGCGATTTCCGACTGTGTAAGAGGCGCTGTGCCCGGAAAAGAGGCCTGAAGGAAAAACCAAACCACAATAGCCACCTCGCAAGCTTCACGGACATTGCTAAATGAGACTTCTGGGCAGTGATAGATTGTCGATAACCGGCCCTCATGGAAACCTTTGTTTTTTCCTGACTATGTAGTAGTGCTCAATTTTTTTCCACAATCGTTGTCTAAAAACAAGTCAGAAGAGATATGACTGTCTCTCCACACAAGTGACATCGGGTCAAACAGCTCTCAAACATTGTTTCAACTTTGAATTACATTCTAGCTCACCCAAAAGCTTGGCAGTAGTTGGAATCAAACTTCTACAAGAAAGTAAACACAAGAATTTGATTTAAACACTAAATTGCACTTGACTAGCTATTTTACCCGAAGTGCCTAGAGTTGTAAAATGGGCGATTTACACAAGATTGACTCTACTGTGTTGATTGACGTCAGATCATGAAATCATGATTTTACTACCCAAGGATTAACTTAGGTTCTTCCTGCGTGGAACTGTGAAATACTTTATACACAGTTAGCAGGTTTTCTGTTTTGATTTGTTTCTTACCCTGCTATAAAACTAGGGGCCATTGTACCCCAACTACATGTACACGGCTACTCGCCGAGTACATGTAGTTGTCGAGTAGTTGCGGAGGCAAGCACAAAGCGAGCGCAGAATGCAAGTTACGCCCGAGGAGAGAAGGGTGAAAAAAATGAATTTTTTTTTCGCTCCTCTCTGAACGCGACTTGCGCTTGCTTGGTGCTTGCCTCCGTTCGCCTGAGAAAAGCTAAAATGTTTACACCTGTTCTGAAGGCTACTTGGCAACCGTTCTATAGGTCGAGATGAAACGCGACGGTGCTCTACGGTAACTGTATCACAATGCGTGACATACACTTGGAAAGGCTGTGCAAAGGCTTCAACTGAATAATCTCAATTAGCTACAATGATGGCATACCTCAATCGGTTTGCTAAGAGAGAAATGTGTTGCACCTAGGTCCAGTGATTCCGCTCCTAGCCTACCGCCTCCTTTAGCTTCAACTCCAGTGCTACAATGTATGATATCAAAAGAAGAATAAATAGTTAACCGATTATGGTTGCCCACAAAGGAAAGTAGTCAGCGGGTTTATTCAAAGATGTGCCTGGAATTAATTTATTGCAGGATATTTAAGGAAAAGATAATAACTGGGAAGATTTTAAACTCTTGCTCTTGAATGGAAAATTTTTCCCTGCATCTGAGCTTCTTTGGACTCTTCGGCAACAATTTCCACATCAATAGACGAAACCAAGAACATTTGTCAGGAAGCCATTACGGAAAAGGGCACTCTAAATGAGCCAACATTTTAACGAATATATTATTTTGGTTTTAATATAAACTTAATTTTTGCTGAGAACTTGACAAATATACAGACTCGTGTTTAAAAATGATTCACACTCACATGCTAGTCACCTAACTCACTGGCTATTAAGGACTAGATAACGAGTAGTCCAGCCAATGAGACTGCAGCATTTGTGCACAAAAATTACAGAGGGGAGCACGGATGTACAGTTTAAATTTTATGTCAATTACCATCAGTAGTACCTATAATTATTATATATATTATGGTATTTATAAACTTTGAATTATAGCGGAGCTCGCAGAGCGTAGCCCCATAATTATACAAAATAGTAGCAACCCATCAAGCCGAAAAAATTTGGATGTACGACCGTACGACCGTGCGACCGTACGACCTTACAAGGTGCTACTTTTAACATGCGTGGTCAACTGTACCGCGGGCACGCCAACGCCACGGCTTCGTTCAGTAGTCCAGTGGTCCGTGCACTGGGCTCCGAGTCGGACGACCCGGGTTCTAGTCCTGGCCGGGGCAAGGCGTTGTGCCCTTGAGACGTATGGGAAGAAAAAAATGTGAGCTCCGCTTTTAGGCTTGGCTAAATCTATATATTATTAAGACTCACCTAGAGATTTGGCTTTGAATTGAGGTAAATCGCTAAGGGAAAATAAAAGACAAAAATTAACATCATGCGACATAAAGTTCTCCAGATATACTAGAAGAAGAAGTTGAAGTATAATCCAAGGAAGAACAACCAAAGAACTGCTTCGAATAATAATGAGGGCATACCTCAATCGGTTTGTCGAGAGTAAAATGAGCTTTTCCTATTTCGAACGACTTCGGTTTACTCATAGTGCTTTCTCCAGCTATACTGTCAGAGCTACTACAGAAGGAAAGAAAGGTCTCCTTAATATTTAATAATAATATTATTTTAAAAGTATTAATAAGCTGTTGTGGGAGACGCCCAGCCTAGTGGAGATTGTGACGGACTAGGGATGTTGTGAGTCGTTTGGACTCGGGCCCCAGCTGAATCACTGTTTTTTTTTCGTAGGCAAGCCACTTTACTCTCAGAAAGTTCCCTTAGGGTGTAGCTATGTTGAGAAGTTTTTCAAAAAGGGGGACACGGTTACGAGTTACGCGCGCCTTACGCGTAAAGAAGGATTTTCCTCAGCTTTACCTAGCAGGCTTGTTTTCTTTCGGCGAAAGGCAGTGGAAAAGATTTACGCTCTGAAAAGTTTTTGGATTTGTGTGTTTCGCCCTCTTGAATTTTAGGGGCTGAATGCTTCACAAACGGAAGGGTCACGGGCGCCCCAGCCCCCTCCCCCTACTAAGATACGCCCTTGGCCTGTTCTCTCCGTCCAAAATTATGACTGGCCTGTTGAGGAAACCTGAAGAAACGAAACCAGTGCTGAACCAGTGCTGAACGAGACATGCAGGAGAAGTACTGTTACACAATAGGTTGTAGATTACTTGAACTTTAAAAACTCAGCCGGTGAGAAACACAGACCAGTCAACTGCAATGCGTAAGATATGAAGTCGAAGGGAATTTTTCATTCCTACATCGGAAAGACAGGGAACTATGACAAGTAGCTTAGTTTTCCAGTTCCTCAGATGTAGGAGACCTGATAGTTCGAGTTCCTGTCTTTCCTCTCCTGTTCAGGAAATCATAGTGTTTTGCGGGTTCCTTTAATGTCATGGTTCGGGGACTACTACTAGCAAATGGCAAGGTTGAAGAATTCGCGCAACAGTTATGGATGTTCCCAACTAATATGCGATTTGTAGAAGTTAATACAGTAAACACACCATAGTACTCGCTCATTCTCATTTCAGAACTTCTTATAAGTATAGGAATATAGGAATATAATCTCCCCATATGTGTTCGGCTTTTAATAACGAGTTGGATTTTTCCTTCACTTACCTGAATGCTTGACTTAGTTTCGAGTGATACTCCTAACAAAAGGATAACATACAATAATGAATTGTAAGTGCGATATTTATTCTTTTGGCAGTTCTAGGTTAATATTTTTTTTTCAATGAAGCCCATAAATAAGTTTAATTTAGCAACGAAGAAACCTAGTCAGTTAAACTGTTTAACTGAACTGAAAGTTGAACTGAACGTAAAAACCATGGAGTGTGCGTGCTAACAGCCCCTTAGAAAGATTTACCTCAATTGACTTGCGAAGGGTAAAATCCGCGTCCAGTATGCCAAACGATTTCTCTTTCCCCATTTTGTTTTCTTTAGACATATCGCAAGATGTTCAAGCTTTCTAGTCCATAACAAGAGCGTTTACAGAGTTTCTCTTATGACGTATTTAGTTTCGTCATAATGGTCACGCGCGCACACTGTTCATCGCCGTGCGCGCTGCGTATCGCAAAGCAAGACATGAAGGTCATTAACAACGACGACGAATAATTTTTCTATTCGTAGATTCGTAGAGGTGTGAGTCATCATTTAGATAGACACAAAAATAAACGTAGTTAAGAGATTGCGTCCGCTTTCGCTCATGCGATCTCTTAACTATTTTTTTTTTGTGTTGGGCGACCTATATATTCAATTGAGTAAAGGGGGTAAGTTTCTAAAGAAACTGTGGTAATGCGTCGGTGAGAGATTATAACAGGGTAATTTAGTGTTAACAACATATGGCAGTTTGCGGCCTTTCCCTACATCTAAGCAGTTTGGAAAACCACGAAAAACTAGAACAAAAATTTATCTTCCAAATCGGCACTCTTAATTCCCACGGTATCGACGAGCGCTTGTCATTCAACTAATTTATTCTTGTTTTCTCGTCATCATATTCCCACCAATAGTATAGCTCCATTTTCTGCATATAAACCCACACACAACTCACAATTCCTCCAATCGCTCTAACGAAGGGCTAACGCTCGAAACGTCAGCCATAAACTCTTAACGGTGGTCAATTTACGTTTTTAACTCAGTTGTTAACACTAAATTACCTATATATTCAAAGTTTGTTTAGATAATAAAATAATGGCTGCCTATAAGTGATCGAGCAAGATTATAATCTCTTAGTTCGGAGGAATTTGAAATATATCCCTTCGCTGAGCCTCTAACTGAAAGACATTGACGTTTCTCTTGGTCAGTAAAGGCGCGCGCAACTGGTTCATCGCGGGGTTCGCGATGACTTATGGGATATCCAGACGGGGTGACGCTTCGCAGAGAAAGTCGAGTACGATGAAATTCATTTGCGAGAAAGAACAACTTCATTACAAACTCAGAATGAATTTTGAAAATGGACCACATGCAAGCGAAGATTTGTCTAGTGGTATCTGGTGCTATTATAAAAAATTGGCTCTTTTAATCTTTTGCGGATTTTAGCGGATTTTCCTCGATTTCAAATTCCTCGAAACTGAGAGATATCTTATTCTCTTATGGGAGCCAATGCTTTTTTACCTAAACGAACTTTGAACATATAGGTCACTGATCCTCTTTTATTTTCATACCAGTGAAGAGACTCACTCTACTCAAACGCAGCGGTCCATTCCATTGTAACTGGTGTACTGAATTGTGACTTTGGGTCGCTTGACTTTCTCGTGATTACTGAAAGCAAGCAACCCCAAACAAATGTATAGAAACTCAATAGCTGTCCAGAGGGTGGATTAATATGCATTTCTTATTTACTTTAGCCTCGGATTAGTCTCCAAGCTGGCCGTTTCAATCCTCTTACGATGTCTTAACGCCTATCGATCACCGTTACTTACCTAACCAACTCAAAAAATGTCAAGTGCTTGGATAAATATTACCTCTGCTTTGTAAACACAAATCAACAATCCTCAAAAGTAATTTCTCAAATTTTACGAGTCTTTATCACGTAAATTTGACATACATCTTTTCATCCGCTCCATTTTCCAAAGGAGATTTTTGCTGTGATGCAGGCAAAGTAGATTTTGCCAACGGCAACACGGTAACACGGTGGAAATTACTTAAAAGAAAATAAAAAAAAAAGCCACTGATGTGTTTGATGGTTATGGAACAAATGTCTTTTGCGACCGCGGAAATTTCATAGTTTTAAGAATCCATTCTGTCTGCTTCGTAAGCTTGAATCAGTCGGGAAGCAGAAGGCCGTACTAATTAATCAGCTTGACCACCGAGATAATAGAAGTTTACTTTTGTGTTGTTGGGCGTGCCGACGGGAAAGGGACTAATTCATCATTCCCGGAATATCCGGGAAAATAACATTGACGTCAACACGAGTTCTATTTCAGTTTGCCGCCTGTGGCGATAACTCGTTTTATTTATACGCTTTCCCGCTCTACAAGAGGCGTACTTGGCCGTTGTTCGTCCTTCAGGACAAAGCTGCAAGCGTTTATGCGCAAAGGTAAGCAGAATTAATATTTGGCATTAGCTAGAATAAAATAAACTGTTCAGCCTCTCCTTTTAGTGGATGAGCGCTCTAGCTGCGTGTAACATTGAGGGGGAGGATTTGTGTTGGAGTACGAACGTGTTTACAGTCCTGCTGACTTTGAACTGAATCTATCATATTTATATTTTTGTCCTATGGGTCTTTTAGTCTCCAAGAGTGCGAAGCATTTGGGCATTGCTCGTCCACTTTAGCGAGTAAAAATCGAGCAATCTTTATTGTTAAATGCTCATTTTCTCTCGTGATCCTCTGAGGCCGGTTTTGAGTGCAAAGTGTGGTATTTGTGACGGATTTAGTCGTGATACAGAGAGCTTTCGTCGTTAAAGCTAGGCCTTGCACGCTTGCATGGTTGTTACTTGAGAATTGCGCCCATGCATTAGAATATTCTCTGGCGATTAAAAAGTCATGCATTCACCCCTAAACAGACTTAAAAAAGATGAGCTCATTCGATTTTACAAAGGAATGTTTATTTTGCATTTGAAGTAGCAAGACTCTCTAAACGTAGTGAAATCACGGCATTTTTACGCAATATGTATTCAATGAAATCCTTATCTCGGAATTTGTTCTGGACCAATTTTGATTCATTGTTACTTGAATTTGTTCCATGTGCATTCAAGATGTCATCGCCCACAATAAATTTCGGAAAATATTTGTCACTAGTTTCGGTTTCATGCATCGGTTTATTTTCCTTAGCATTACGGGGGCATAGGAACAGGATTATAACAATTTTATCGTAAAATCCTGGAAAATCTCAAATCCTCTTATAAGAATTCGCAAGTGGTGCTGATGTTTTGGCTTAGAGTATTGGCCAAAGGTCGTGACCTGGTATTCATAAACACCATACCACCCGTGCATTCAAGACAGATAACTGGTAGGACAAACTTGCCCAATTTACATCCGGTTAAAAGATAATTAAGGTATATCCGGTCATATAATATTGGCGGCGGCGACGACGCGAAAATTGGTCCGATTTAAAGATATCTTTTGTTTAGTTGTGAAATGAAATAGCTGAACACGATTAGTGCATTGATTTTACTTTAAATAAAATACCAGCATTTGTTCTGTTTCTGAGGATGAAATCTTCGTCGCGCTTAAGGCCCCATAGAAAACTAGTGGATAATCTTCTCTAAGCTTCAAAACACTTCAGGATGCCACGCAACGCTACCCTCTGTTACACAGTCTCCATCGCGGACGTTGTTTGTTGTTGTCTCGCTGGACGTTCGCTTCAGTACCAGAGAGCGTTTGTGAAGGAGTGAACGACTTGCGTGACACGAACTAACATCGCCTGCAAAGGAGGCAGGGCGTGAAATTAACTTTTTTTTCTGATAGCCACTTGGCTCCTAAATTCATCAAAGTGGTAGCCAATTCAAAAAAAGTTGGTCGCCATTTTGAAAGACAAACAAAACCTTTTTTTCACGCTGTCATCGTTCTAGAAGTTAAGTTAGGGAAAAGATCTTTAACGTGCTACAAAGGGGACACTAGGATGGATGATATGCAATGTTTAAGCTCACCTAAATCCAAGATGGCGTCTAGTTATCGATCGAGATGCATCTGCTGCGTTTTGGAAACAAACTTAACGAGGAAGTTTGCCGCGGATTTGTCTTTGCAAATCTTTTTAATTCACTATATCTCTAGGTAAGGTTATGATGAAACATTCTAGTCGCCAATTTGGCGACTAATTTTCAGGATTTGGTCGCCAAAGTGAAAAATTTAGTCGCATTGGCGCCTGTATTAGGCGCAATTTCACGCCCTGAGGAGGCAAGATTTCATATCTAAAACGACCACCATTTCAAGTCCAGCGTTTTCCCCATGGATATATTCTTGACTTTTCGCCTTTAAGGACAGACTTGAATGAAGTTTTTCATGCGATTGGCCAAGGTCAGCCGGCTGAAGTCAGTGTGCACTAAACTAGCTGGAGTCATCCACTGCCAGTGCCTTCCGGTCTCCTAAAGCTGCTGTTTTTTGAAGGAAGGATGAGTATTGTTCGTCTCAGTCACTGCTACTGGTATATGACTCCATGGATGTATTTGTTAGTGCCAAAAAAACTCATTTGAATGTAGATCACTTACTAGTCTACCGCCAGGCTCTAGTGGAGACAAGCGAAGGGCGTGTTGGTGAAAATCATTATAAGGCGGGAGATTAGAAAAGCTGATTTCCCGAAAATCACCACGCGTCGCTCGCTCGTCATCTCACCCTACTCCGTGGAGAGCCTGGTAAAGGCTGCCGTGCTAGCATGGATGTTGTGCAGCGATGACCTCTCCTACTTTTCGTAAGCTTTTTCGGGAGAAAAATTTTCACAGTTGTTGTTGCTGAATTTACAGGTTCTGTTTATCAAGCCCATCTTGGCACTGGTTTCATTTTAACTGTGCATCTCTCTTTTTCACTGGCCACCCTCAATAGCTTAATTCTCTTTATCTAAATTGAAATCTTTTGCCATTTTCATTGTGACAGTGACGCAAGAAAAGGATTGATGTGCTTCGCGAAGCTATGTTGAGTTAGGCGCGATAGGCTTTGCATAGTTTCACCCATTTTAATCAAATTCGCTATTCAAGAATTTCATTGAGTATGTATTTCAAAGGTTTGTCATATCCTCCAAAGTTGACTCTCTCAACCGCAAATATAACGAATTAAACATGTTCGTGCTTTAGAAGAGCTTAAACGTAGTTATCAGCCCGAGCAAAAGATATATCCTTTGATACAGCGCGGCATATCAGATAAAAATTATGATATTGCTTGGGCATAATCACGTTACAGTATTATCATGGCACGATCGGTCTTTAAAAATTGCTTTTAGGCTTACCAACATCCTTTAATTATCGAGTTCATTGGTCAGTGTCCGGAGTTGCTAATTTAATTTGTGATGAAGAGACAACAAATTAACACACGCGTAGGGCTGAGTATACCAAGAATATTTCAGAACAGGTGAATATTCCAAAATGTGGTTACCTTGTGTATTTATGACTGATTCAAAACAAACCTCGCAACGTCATTTTTTTTACATTTTTCTACACAGATAAGCCGTATGCCATTGAAATTAGTCAAAAATTTCTCTCTCTTCTTATCTCTGGAGATCACACATCTCAGAAACACTTACGGCGTAAAGAGCGGCATTGAAAACGGACATTATTGAACATGTATGTCGTTATCGGCAAATTTGGCATATTATAACGTATTTAAAAGTAAGGTAATACCAATGCTGTATTCCTAAGTGTTCAGTATACATGTAACCAACATAGGACATACCTAAACAATAGTACGGTATTGTAAACTTTATTCTAACTGCACTATCATACTAATTGTAATTTAATTATTTCGACGTTGTCAAAACTTGGTTTGTTGTTCTTTCCGCGACCGGCAGAAAAACGGCGCCTTGGACTTCCGTAGAGTTGACGAGATTTCACAGAATTGCCAGTCCACTGCCACATCGAAAGGGTCAACGCAAATTTCAAAACAGTAGCCTTTATTATTGGATAACAGCCATGACCTCGCAACTGGAAGCTGTTGTCGTTGGCGAGTTCTTTTCCCGAGCGGTGGGCGAATGCGATTGTTCGAAGAATGGCGATGTTTTGTCGAACGATTCGCAACGGCTGGAAACCGATGCCATACAGAAATTTTTATCGGTCTGCTTAAAGCAATATTTTCACTGCTTCCCAGACAACACAAAGGTAAGTTCTTTTTCCGAAACGCTCCTCGTGAACTGAATTTCAATTTTTCCGCTGAGGGTCCGTTCTTGATTGCAGTAGAAAATTGATAGTTCGTGACCGCAGTGCGAACGACGATTAAGCGCGGTTTCACCTTTTTTCTCGATTATAAGCAAAAAGTGCACTAAAATGTCAGGTAGGATTCATTTTTTCTCTGTTATGAGATTTTCTGTCCGAAAAGCTCCGCCGGCTGGTGTTTTCTATTAACGAAGTTGCAAGGATTTTTTTTTTTCAATTTGGGATGCCTCTCTGAAAGACTTTCTCATAAAACGTTTCTCTCGCCGTGGGTGGAACTGGGTCATCTGTAATCTCCTAATCCTCCACTAGTTCTTAGAGGGGTTTATTCAGACACTAATCAGGTATATCAGTTAAATTTGCATAAAAAGTCCAGTCTTCAAATTTCCTTGAATTTCCAGTTCTCCCCACAATGCCTTAGGCAAGCTAAATATCGTAGGATACCTCTCTTTGATCTTTCCGGATTTCTTTTAAGTCCGTAAATGATTATCAAGGTAATGGCAATTAGCAGATATTTCACGAATTCAAAATATTTCTTCTTCTGTTAATTGCCTTACTGCGGTGGAGAAAAGAAATGCAGTAATTGTTAGCTAAATTTTTGCACAACAAGCATTTCCTTTCCGTTATTTACTGATTTTCATTTATTGTAGCTTGAATGGGTGGCCGAGAAACTCCTATAAATCTCCTGTCATCATAAGCTGTCATTTCACCACTGAGTGTGACCTTGAGTTGCTTGTTTGCTAAGAGCTTAATGATATCAGCCAAAAGCAGCACTTCACAGCTTTTGTTAGCTAATTAGCTCGAAAGAAAAGCAAGGAACTACAAATTTGTCGATTTTGGAAGCAAATTCTTCCTAGGTATATAATCCACGAATCATCTGCGAGACTACTTTGGTTTACTGGGTAACGTCAGTCTCAGTTAAAAGAAGTTGTCACGACGCCATAAATAGCTTAACGCGGTGATACTTTTGGCAACATTATATCCAGTTACCTTTGACTTCCTTGGTCGGGGAGAACTCAGGGAAGAGTAGTCTGGGAACAATACCAAATTGCTTTGGGTGTATGCAGGGTAAGAGAAAAGGCGATGCCAAAAATGTTATGCGCAAGTGGTATCTCTATCGAGAAAACAGTTAAAGAGGCCATTTTCTTTCTCAATACTAGAAACTTGAGTGATGTACAGTAGGTACTCGATTTGCCAGAGCACGCGTTTTCACACCAATTTTCGGGGCTGAGATCAAAGGGGAAACTGTTCTTTTGTCAGTGTGTCTGGTCTCTTGGGCGTGTGTTATTCGTGTGTTCGTCAAGTGCCCGCCACGCTGGGTACCGTGTCATCTCTTATTTTATTGCGCGGTTAAGCACTGCTAACTTTGCTTTGGAGGGTGAGGTGGGGGTTGGTGAAATAAATTGTTATCTCTATATCTATTTAGGAAGTAGATCGACAAAACTTATACATGTGTGGTCTCCCACAGCTTAGATCGATTAAATAACATACTTCACAAGTTGGAACTTTCTTGTGATCATTAATCTTGTTGCCATTATCTTCCACGTTTTTAATCTGACAAGTACCATGAAAATGAAAAGCACCAAAGGGGAAAGAGGAGTTAAAATGGAGAGAAATAATGTAGAAAGAACTATTCATATTTCTGTAAATTCGTACATTCTTGCGCCTAAGAATAATGACAATGAAGCACTCGCCGCCGCCCCCCTTACCCACCTATAAACACTCATCACCGTGAAAAGTTTGTTAGTACCAAACTTACTTCCTCGTTAGTATAACGGAACTTTCTCGACTCCCAAACGGAATGTTAAGTGTATTTTTATAATCTTGTAATAAAGGTTTTAACCTCAATCTGAAAAATCCTCTTATCACTTAAGGCAATCAACTCTTTAATCCCTAAGAGTGACGAGCATCTAATTTCTCCTCACAGTGTCATCCCTGAATTACACGTAAAGGTCGTGGGAATAAAGGAAATGATGACCAACTAAAGAAGTTCTTGTTGGTAAACAAATTCTCCTGGTCAGCACCTAAATAAATGTATAGAAACAGTTAAGAGAATATGTAGGCTGATGTTAGGGTGTAAGGGCTTAAAAGGGATGACGTGAATCTAATAATCAACCTCGGTCGTATGAAATTATCAGAATGTACCCAGAACTCCATGCATGTTAAGAGAAAGGATGAATTTCATGGTGACTACAGGCTGAAGGGACAAAGACGCACTAAAACTTTTTGCCGAGGGATTACGCATCAGTGAATGTTTTATTTTGCACATCTACAGGAAACACCTGAGGGCAACAATGTGGGAAGCCAATTAAGTGCAGATGTTTCTTGCAAATTTTGCAAAGACGACATGGTACCAGTTACGCTGGCTTTGAAGGTGAGATTTGTAGATACCATAGAACTGCTCTTCTGGGACACTTTCATCTTGATGTCATTCTCATTCTAAGAACCCATATTTGAGTCCCCCTTTTCAAGGGACATTTTCTCTAATACCGACGGGGCCCCCCTGGGTATTAGTCACCCTGCAGCTTAAACATTCAAAGAAGGGACTGGAAGCCTTAATCAGGGAGTGAACTTGGCATTACGCCTTCTTTTAACCTAATTGGAAACACTGTCGTAAGTAAGCTTGACATGACTTTCAGGGGTCATTATACTCCATTAGGACACATATATCTAGGCATCCATCTCATTCGAGGCATGCAAACATGAGTTGCGACTGAATAGAATTCTCTACAAACTTCATACAATTTGCCTTTATTGATGGGATCTCTTGACAAGAACATTTTCTATAATCCCGAGGGTGTTCCCTGAGTATAAGTTTCCCTCTATTTTTAATATTCGTAGAAGGGACTGGAAGCCTTAAACAGGGAGTGAACTAGCAGCATAATTGCTTGTTGTGTTGTACCCCAAAATTGTTATTAATATAATTGAAACGCCGTCTGAATAAGTTGGACATGACTTCCAAAGGTCAATTTGCCGTCAAGTACTCAATTTTCCGTCTTAGAACGGCTAACGAAATAAGTGGATTTTATCTTAGGTAGTATCAAGGTTTGAAGAGAGAAGAGATCGGCGTAACACTGCCACCCCTCTCCCATAGCTTCATAGTTACCTTCCCCTTCCCCAAAGCTTCAATTATTCCTTCCCTGCCCACCCCCCTCCCCATTTTCGGGCCGGGCCCTAAAACCAACATTGCGTGCAATTTTATAAGCTAGAAGGAATTATTTCATTACAATTTAGAAGTCGAAAATTTAGGCACTGAAGACAGTTGATGATGGGCTGAAAGCTTCAGTTATATTATTTACTGCAGCTCGCCAGCTCGTGTGAATGCTGATGTTATAAAATGCTTCGAGATCTCGACTAAATGTCAGCTTTCAAATGACTTTTCAATTCATTAAATCCTATGAAAGTAAACATCGGAGATTTATTTTCAAGTCTTACTTAGAATACAAAAAAGGCACTAAGGGAAATGTTATTTTGGTATACACCACATCTATGCGCCTGACAAACCCTTTTGTGCAGATAACTGCTGACGAAGAGTGCATAAAGCAGACGCATTTGGCTATAGGCTACATTGTATTTTGTATTTACAACGTGATATTGCGCTTAGCATTTTTAATTCTTTTCACCGAAACTTTAGATTTAAAATACTCACAAATACTCAATTGTTCGAGATACGAGATTAAAAGGTCACATTTACGATCGACGAAGTCTAGCCAAGAAATTTTGTGGTTTAAAATACTCTGGCATCAGTCATCATCAACATCTGTCTGCATAGTTAACACATAATTCATTCCAGTGCAAGCACGCGTCATCGAAAAAAATTACGATACCAGAGAATGAATTTTAAGAGTGTCTTCCGTACATATCTCGTCACATTACCAAGCATGAGCTAAATACAATATAGACTACTCGCATTATCAAGTGCATATTGACTAGAAACTACTCTGACATCTCAAATTATGTGGCTTTATCCACTTTTTAAACATTCTTCGCATGGTTAGTCGACACAATTACATTTTTGTGAGAATAGGGCGGGAAACTATTGTTTCACAAACAAACGAACTCGGAAACCTCTCTCATAACTTGTTCAAAATACAATGCGGCAATATCTTCATGCGTGCCTATACTTCAATTTATTCAGTTCCATTTTTCATTCCGGCGCAGAGATCATATGATTAATGACATGCTGGCTCGCAGACTGTCTCAAAAAGCCGCTTTAAATCAGTTTAATTCTTCTTTGAAAATTATGAAACGAAAGCTACTTAAAACTTAAGGTAAGTTCCATGTTCATCTGTGGTAAATTTTTCGAATAGTGAAGTCAGTTTCATGGAGACTACAGTGTTCAAGCGGTGAATATCGAAATTCTTGTTACAAAGGAATTTCTAGTCGATTCCTGTCGACGTTCTAAAAGAACTTAAACACAGCGGAATTAAAAAGGCTTAAAGTAGAGTGGCAGTCAATTAACGTAATGATGTGTAATACATGAAAAGGATTTAAATCGTGTTTTCAAAAGAAACAACAGAGGTAAGATGGCAGTGCTACTTAAAACCGCAATCGTAAACTTTGAACAAATTCCAATTCTCATGGCCGTGGGGCTTCGATAATGTTTTGATTAATGTTCGCCTGTGGCGATGAAATCATTAGTTGTAATCGAGATAAACGGTTCTCTGTCTCGCGAAGCACCCATTTATTCACAAAGTTTGAAAGTGATTTGCTTACAACCAACAGACAGCCGCATTTTTAAGTCACGAAAACAAGTCTACAAAGAGCGCGGGGAACGCTGAATATTTATCACGGCGTTTTGCTTGGAAATCAGGAAAATAATTTTCCGCAAATAAGTATTTTTCGCTCAAAATCGATAGAGAGTTCTAAACTATCTTCGTAAATTTTGCAATTATTCGTCGCGTGAGATAATAGGTAAGTGGTCCGATAATTTAATGGAAACAGTTCTTTTCTATCACGCGTTAACGCGTGCAATACGTTTGTCATTATACATACAAGTTGAAAGTCTTGTTGAAAGATGCGATGGTGAAATATTCACATCGCTGTAGACCGCTTCACACCGTATTTCCTTTCGCATTCTTTAATGTCATGTACCGGAAACCGGCGCTGGCGTTTCATGGGAAGCGTCGCTTGCTTGTGAAAATTTAGCGCAAATTTGTACACATATTTTCATCTTTGTAGTCAAAATGGGTAGCAAATCGCGGTTATCGCTAAAATATTCGATGTTGTCTTCCCCACAGAATCACCTTGACGTCTGCCCTTTATTTCCAGTCAAATGTCCTAACATGTGTGGAAAGATGGAGGTGCCAAGGGAAAAGGTAAGCTCTTTTTTAAAACTCGGAACTAAGGCCGCTTTATATGAGTTTCGTCAAACGAGCTGGCTAGCCTGGTTTCTGAAATCCCAATGATCTTTCCTTAACTATGCTTTCCACTGCAAGTTACATCGTTCTTTACTAAAGGAAAGCTCGGTTAGCTTGATCACGGTTTTAATGACCTAGTATTAAGTAATCGGGAGTTGTAAGATTCCCTGACCAGGTCAGTTTTCTCCACCAAAGCTGAAATTTCTCCTGTGATCGGCAGTGGTCGGACTGAATTTACAGCTCCGTAACCGCGATGGAATTTTCCTTCTGAAAGCGAAGCAACTCAAGCGAGATCGTGCCGCTAAACTGACGATCTCGGCTCCTGAACCCAGATGAAGTGGTCTTAATATATAAGCTAAAAAAATTCAATACAATGAATTGCTGTCTAATTTTTTGATGAATATCAACCATTGACCTCATTCCCTACAATTTATGTATTATTCTGTTCTTAATTTTTGCGCAAATTATGTAATGCTTTTCATGATCCGGCTGGCTGCATTTTATTGACAACCTATTTTTAGTGTTTTAAAGTCAAACAATAACGGATTTTGCTGGATTTTCGAAGTTCTTGATATGCTTCGGGAGAAACTAAAATTTCTTCTAAAATTAGTCATTTTCATCGTACATGAGCGAGGGTACTAAATATTTGCTGCTAGGGAAATAAATTGATTTTACGATAAGCACCATCTGTCGATATTAGAGGTTATCTATGCAGAAACATCTTAATTTATTTTAACGATGTTATAACCACAAGAATTATCGATGAACAACCAGATAGAAATAATCTGTTACTAGAAATGCAACTAAATTGTGGGAATTTGAAAAAGTTCATGAAAATATTTGGGTTAAACTCGCCATGGTTTCATTGTTTTAAAATGTTAGTTTATCTAATCTGATCACAATTTATCTTGACCCCAAGTAAATGTTAAACCTTCCGCTATGGCATATCGTTTGGAATTTTTGCAATATTCAGTCCCCAGTAGCCTGACTATAGCATTCTTAAGTTTCTCTTCAGTTCTGTGGAGTCATTTGTTGAAATAATTATAGGAAATTTGAGGAACCTTTGAGGATGTGAATTCGGGTCTCCACTATTAAGCATATGTTTTAAAGAATTTGAATTCAGCGAAGCTCTTAATGCCATCGCCTTTTACTCTTGATCCGTTCTGCTGCAAACTTGCGTAGTGTGGAAAGGATATTTTATCAGCAATAACGGCGGATTGTAACTCGAACAATGATAAAAGATTTATATTAATGATAAAAACCAAATACTCTTCGGAAACTACCTCCAAGGAATTCAAGCAGACTGAAAGTATAACGATTCTCTGTGAACTGTATTGATTACTTACGGAAAACTAAAGTGATACAACATTAAGGCAGAAATGAGCATTGCATTTGCATGCGATTTTCCTAACCGCTGGACATTCAATTTGCATTTATATGGAGATTTGTCTGGAGTAGGAAGTCTGTAATTAAACGACCTTTGACCAAGTAGATCAAGAAAAGGCGCCAACATGGTGCGTTTTATAAAAAGATAAGCTGCTTCTACGCAAAACTTCTTTTCCGGCTTTTAAAAAATATTTGTAACTGAAAGATTTGCAATTGACGGACTTGACAAAGGTGTTTTCTTTTCCAAAGAACTCCGCAGCAATTTAGATGTTGGATAAACTTAAAAGTGGAAAGTTCACCGAAACGAGTGTTTTTTTTCGAAGTGATGACGACACCTTGTCTATAAAGTCAATGTTATGTTGTAGAAATTTGAAACTTTCAGCTTAAAGCAAAAAGGGCTGTCCAATTAGAGTTCTACGAACTTCAACGATATCAAAATATGTTTTTTTAGCCTTAGGCTACGCGCAGCTTTACCACCCACAGAAAAAGATATAAAAACAACAGATGACTCATTCATCTTCTGTGCTACTTTCTTAATCGATAAACTGCTACATGTTTTTTCGCAAACCAATGTAAACGGTGTTTTTGTGGTTTTTAAATTGCAGCTTTCCAATCATATCATGGAAGAATGCCCGAAGACCTGCGAACAGTGTGTCTATCACGACATTGGATGTGCCTTCCAGGTAATTTATATCAGTTGGGTTTCAAAACTCTGCCGTTTTGTTTTGTTTAGGTTTTTTTTACTGTGTTTTCTACCCCTGGTCATGATAAGTTATTACAAATAAGATCTATGAGAGAAGTAAAATTCAACTTAAATTTAAGGGACACAAAAAAAACGTCAGTGCTCTCGAGTATAGTTTTAACCCGGTTTTTGATGTAAGTGCATGCCGAAGAAATGGGATCAAAAAGTCTTTAGCGATGTTCAAAAGAGGCAATCAGAGCAAGGCACATGTACGTTTCTCCTTGCCGGAAAAAAAAAAACTTCGCGTGTTTGAATGCCGGTAAGGTGGCATTACGAACATATACTGTCGTGAAATCAATGAACGCTCCAGAGCTATACATGAACGCATCAGTTGTCAATAGCTTGTGTTGCTTGAGTCGTGAAGCGAAGAAAATGTTAAATTCAGTGTGCAAAAGCTGCTCAAATATCCCTAGAAACCGACTTTCTATTCCAAATAATAAAGATGGAAACACGCATGCACATTTAAATATACAGCATGATATAAAATGTAGGATGAACCATAAACATCATTAAAATCTCTTGTGCTAAGCATGTGACTATGTCTGAATCGTGACCGTTCAATCTCTTCGGTCCAAAATCCTCGTCTTAATAATCTTAATAAGTAACTCCGTCCACGTTTCCACTAGGCATCATTCTATTTCATGGTAATTTCTGAGACATTGAAAGACGCAAGCAGTTGTCATTAGTATGGAATGATGATAAAAAAGGTACCCCTTGTCAGCATTAAGATTCTAGATCTACGGAAATCATAATCAGATTCTCGCTAATCAAGCCATGGAAGGCTCGTCAGGCTATCTGTTAGGGTTTCCAAACCATCTCAAATATGGTCTGGTAGTGATTCATCCATCACCGTGATTGCTGGTTCTTACTCTGTGTACAAAAGCGATCACTAAAATATCGAAAATGTGACAGAATTGTGACTCTAGATGTAGGGGGAAGTAATCAGTAATTCGTAAATCCTTGAGGCTTATGGGAGCTCAAATTCCTAACCTAAGAGATATTCTCAACCCGTTAAGGATAAAACAAATGATTGACTGAGGTGGGTAACATCCTGAGGAAGCATCTTCGGAAATCTCCTGCACTGTGAAGGCAGCTTAGTAATCTAACTCGAGATAAACACTTAACTTCATTAATTAAGTGAGGATCACGCTAAGAAATTGAGCCTGTCGAGTGCCTTTGGTGATACTTGTTGAGTTATTTTTAGATCACTCCCATTTCCGAAGTCCTGGGAGTGTCTAGAAATACCCAATCCTATACGAAGGATGTGGGCATCCCACGCGGCTTTTAATCCTTTTTCGGCCAAAACATTTTATGCATCACGCGAGATAGAGGGAGACCAGATACCCTCAGTGTGAAAATAACTACAAACCTTTAGAATACGCCATAATGTTGGCAATTGTGTCCTCTCTATAAATCATCATTTAACTCCTTGTATTTTTACTCAAACGTGACTTTTGCAGGGTCCTAGAAGTGACTTGACGAAGCACCTTCAAGACAATTCTGAGGAACATCTACAATTGGCTTTGGAAGTGATCAAAGAGCAGAGAACAGAAATGGGAATACAGCGAGGGCGACTGAGGAAACAAGAAGAAAATATAAATCAGCTGATGGAAAGTGTCGGCAAACTGACAGCTCTGTGTGAGGAAACGCTAAAAAATAATGCCGACCAAGAAAAAACGATGAATCGATTGTCTGAACAATTAAAAGAGCAGAAAAAGCATCAATCTAAACACGAAAAGGAGTTGAGGCAGAGAATGGCCGAATTAGAGAAACATGAACCGGAAATGCCCCAGAACGGGTTAGCTCGTTATCCAGGACTCAACGGTTACGGAGAACTTGTTTGGCGAATTTCGAATTTCTCCCGAAGATTACAACGCGTTCAGTCGGGACGCGGCGAAGACCCAATGACAAGCGAGCCCTTCTATACTTCGGCATTTGGCTACAAGATTGTCGTGTGGGCCTACATCAATGGTAGAGGCAAAGAAACTGGGCGTTCCTTGTCTTTGTACGCATGCGTCTTGTGTGGAGAGTATGACGCAGTACTTTCCTGGCCGATCAAACCTCGGTACACGTTTTCATTGTTGGATCAAAATCCAGATCCTGAAGCGAGAAATGATTTAACTCGCACACGAAAAGTTCACGACTTCAAACGTGATGACGTCAGAAGAAAGGGAATTGATCGGCCTGGTCGAGATGAGAGAGCCATCATTGTCGGATTTGATGATTTTGTTAGACACGAAGAACTTGAAGCTGGCAACTTTTTAGCGGATGATATTCTATTTGTTCGCATTCTTGTTGATATTCCTGAATCTTGAATTACCCTCTCATCCTAGAACAACCTCGCTTCTTTACTTGTTAAGTCGTTTCATTTTTGGTGTTAAAATTTCCTACCAAAGTGACGTTTTTAACACAGGAGTCAAATGTCGGGCATGCGCAGTGAGATCAATTTCTTTGCCAGCTTCGCGCCTAGTTCCTGCGCTAACAATTCGCTCACTAACCTTTACCTAAATGACAACACAAGACAACTTTGGGAGGTAAGAGTGTGCTCGTATTTAGTTTTAAAAAAGGAAAAAACGAACAAAGAAACTACGTAACAAACAGTACAACTTTAAGATTCATTACACTCTCTTAAAATTGCCATTCTCATCTTATATCGCATGACAGCAAGATCAGAACATGTACGAGCAAATATATTACAATAGACCGCGTACAAAACTAATGGAAGCCGTTCATTAACCAATTTTCAACATTACGTATAAATTAAATAACTCCTACCATATGGAATTAATATTTTGTTACAATTTTTTGACTTCATAGTTGGTTTGCGTATGCCCAAGTAAAATGATTCAAATGGCCTGCAAGCTAGGGACATTTAATGCCTATGAAAAAAAAAAAAAAAGTCTCCTCAGGCCGTTTTCATCCCTTTTTCCTCTACCTACATCTAATAGAATAATTTCATTTTTCAATATAATTGTATCATCCATTTATCCAACACAAGGTTGATGGTACAGTTTCAATAAAAAAGGTTGAAACACTTCCTTATTTATCTATCTATGATATTGGCTCCTTGCATTGAAAACAAGGAAAATTATTTTGATTGTTTTAATTACTGCTCGCAAAGCTCATTGCTGTCGCAATGTAGATTCAAGATTATTTGATTATTTTCTTCACTTTTTTTTCTAATATTATTGCATCCATTCCATGAGGCTTTGAGCGTATCAAATTGGCGCCTGCGCCACAGCTTTATAACAACCTCATGCCCAAGGTTTCTCCGGTCACCCTTCCCTTCGAGACCCTGTGAAAGAGGTTGCATCTACAAAAGTTCGAATTACACTTTAATTTCACACTCGGTTGGCATGACGAAGTTTTTTCGAAAAACCCTAGTAATTATTACCAACATAAGATTCCGCCCCGTACCAAGTTATTTATTTTTTAAGCTCTAGAAATCAGTCTTAAATGATATCAGAATTGAGCATGATCAAGAAATGCACCAAATCACGTTTACTCGACATGTTAAAGCAGCAATATAAGATTCAATTTTAAAAAATCTCTTCAAAATCAAGTAATGAATGAATATCTAATGAATGTTCGTTCTCAATAACAATGGCGTCTATGAATTGCAGTCGACGTATTTTAATTGAGTCTATCGCTGAGATTCTTAGATTACTTTGTGTAAGACACCGCATCTGCAAGAGTCCTCTCAGATAGTTGCGTGACGTCCCATCTCACAAAAGACTACCTCACGTGGACTTGCCTGACGGTCTATGTGACGTTGAGTTAAGGAAAGCCCTGTGGTTCCTGCGACCAACGAAATCAAAGAGACAATTCGCTGAGCCGATCGTTATTCATCCGTGTTTTTTTCTGAGTGCGTAAAATCATCCTAGTCTCACTGGTCGACATCCTCGGTCACTATTATTACAAAAAAACACGTCGCATGACCTCTTCCTTGACTTTTACCCTGAAAGGCTTCCGTGAACGATAAGGAATTGACAAACTCCAAAACCAGTGAAGAATGATTGTCGCTTGCCCTTCACTGAAGTCACAATTATAACCCTCTCTGTAGATTACAAGTCACAGAATATCTCATCTCAGAACTGCATGCTCGCGTAGCTTGGCCCTTGTTGGCCTCCGCCGCCTGACAACTGGTTGTTTGACGCGGTTCTTTGTAAGATGAACTAACTGGACCGGAGTGGCTGAAACGAAGAAGTAAAATTACATCAAACCCTAGCCATGAAATAAATAAAAAAAAAAAAAAACTGAGAGAAGCAGGAAAGCAAAACATCTTCGTTGAGCTGTTAAACCCCTCAAACCCTAGCATCAGTGTGCATATTCTCCACACAGTTCTACATACATTTCCTAAGGTGCTGACAAAGAGAATTTGTT